TCAGGGTGAAGATCTTCTCTCACTACTCTAAAGGGCCCCTTTGGCAGTAGGAAACACATAGACTATTACGGAGATTGATTTTAGAATTTAGATGCACTGTTATCAGTTGTGCTTAATCGTACGTGTTCATATCCTTGAAGATGTATCATGGAAGTGTTGCAGCCTAGAAGACACAAATTTAACTAACAAGAAGTAGTACATTATTTTGATGTGTTGAAATTGTGAACTTCTCTCTTTGTTACTTGAGCACTGTTTGGTTTTCCTAAAGAGAAATGGCAGAATAAACACATAACACATATAAGTAAGGTAGCATAAATAGAATAAAAATGTGTCTTGTAGTAAAACCATTCTGTATTTTTTTATGAGTAAAATTTCCTGTAGAATAGTTTTGACCTACCATTTTGAAAAATGTATTATTGACACCAGAGAATCAGAACATTTGTATACCTTCTAGTATCAACACTTCAGTCACAATAAATTTTACAGAATTCTATCCCAGTCTAGTGTGACCTATGTGGCAAAAAAAAAAAAAAATCTACAGAGCAATGTTTAGCCAATAAGTTTACAATACAACATTGGTAGTTTTAAAGAAAATGCATATATTGTTCTTACTTTTTCAGGGAATGTGTGGCAGTAGAAGCGCTGATAACTTGTCATGCCCTTCTCCATTGAATGTAATGGAACCAGTAAGACTCTCTCCTTTTAATCACTGGGGAAGGGGATGATATAAAACAACATTTTCTAAAAACATACTTTTCCTACTGTAGATGAAATGTATTTTTTGCACACAGAATCTTGATCAATAAGGTATTGATTAGAAATGAATTTGGCACTTCTAACAGCTCACCACAAGAAAGACAATTATAATAGTGATTTATCTTTATGGCCTTACAGAGATAGGTGCCATGAAAACTTTCCCAAGTGGACGGTAGGGAAATACACTTCCACAATCTTAACCCAACCAAATCCTTTGGGTATAGTTGATTCCATAAGAGACTTTTTGAACAAAAGTGTGCTTTTATTTTTATATAAAAGCATTCTGAGAAGCTGGGTTTTTTTTTGTTAATGGTAGAAAACCACCATCATTCCAAGTTATTTGAACCTGGATGATAACAAGGACAGTTTCACCCAACTTTACTAGTGATGGGGCACAGGCATCATCGTGCTAACCAGTGGGTGATAGGAGCCCACTGTGGTCATTCGAGAGAAAGACCTAGGAGTCTGCTTCTAAACATTACACCTTGGAAACCTCAATAGGAAGTTTTACTCCATCTCACAGGGTCACTGCTTGTGGGAACTGACTCCATGCAAGTGACGTTTATATATGTTCTTGTTAAACTTGATGCTTGATCTCATGGTGAATTTAAATTTTACTCTATGGTTTTAATCAGTGAAATTGAAGTTAATTAATGAATCAAGAGTTACATCTTTATGAGCTTGTGTGATTTTTTTTTTTTGGCAATAATCTCAGTAGGATTTTAATTTTCTTTTCAACTCCTAATCATAATTTCAAGATAGACAAACAACTGCTGTTTCTGTTCTCCAGGTCACTGAGTTGATGCGGGAACAATCGTATCTGAAGTCAGAATTGGGCTTGGCACTCGGAGAAGTAGGGTTTGAAATTCCTCCTGGAGAAAGCTCCGAATCTGTCTTCTCCCAAGCAACATCCGAGTCCTCCTCTGTGTGTTCTAGTCCCTCTCGTGCTAATAAAAGAACTGCAGTACGTTCTGGTGACTCAAGCAAACCCAGAACCCAGTTAGTGTCAAGCAAGAAAGTATTCCGTGCATCAGTTGCCCTCACACCAACAGCTCCTTCTAGAACAGGTTCTGTGCAGACACCTCCAGATTTAGAAAGTTCTGAGGAAGCTGGAGCAGCTGAAGATGCTGCAGAGGCTGGAGGACGTACATCTGCAGTGGAAGAGGGACATAGAAATATCCCATTAGTGCCAGCTGCTGAGGAGGTGCATACAGATGTGGAGCAGGACGAATTACAGCAAGTGATACGGGAGGTGAGTCAAATCTGTGCTTGCTTCATTTGAAGAAATGTAGTATAGGAGTTCTTACTGGAATGTTAATCATTTGTAAAAACATTTCTCTGATTCACTTTATTAATTTTCAAAGAGTTTTAAAATTATTTTTTTCATTAATCTTATTGGTATCAATTAAAGAAGGTCTGTCTTAGGAATAGATTTCTTAAAGTTTCGTACTCTGGTGTAAAATAAGTACAATTAACTATACTCGGTTGAATAAGATATTTATAGGGCTTCTTATAGGTAAACATGTAACAAATTCTTTGGTAATATATAAACGTGTGACAACTCTTTAGTCCTTTGATTCCATATCTGTAAAATGAAAGATTATACTTTTATATCTCTTCCAGGCTTAAAACAGTCATTTAGTAATTTGATGACAAAAGAAAACAGGATTGTGACTTTTTGTTGTTGTTATTTGGTGATAATAACTTTTAAGAAGTACAAAGATCTTTGGATGATGAGTTGAGAAATGTGAAAATTTTATGAGATGCTCAAAAAGAAAAAGTGAAAAATTGAGCTTTTTTCAATATTGTAACAGTGAGAATCTAATGCAATTGTGATAGTTATGGGCTATCAAAAGGACTGCCAAAAAAATAAGCAAAAGCTAGATTAATTGGAAAAAAAAGTACAATGAGTGTTTGGCATAAAAATTTAGGGAATTAACAGGAACAATGTATTATATTTTATTTCATCATTTTAAAAATGGGAACCTCCTTAGATACACTTTTATGATAGTTTCTTGTATTTTTCTTTCAGTTAACACTATCTCTTTTTTTAGTATAAAATTATATGAATCCATTTTATTTCCTTGTCTTAATAGTTCTTAAAAGGAATTCTTAAGAAATGAACCATATTTATTCACCATTCTTTCCATCTGAGATACATAAACTAATGATGATAAAGGACCTTTAATTTTTATCATTAATACACAAATAAATTTTTTTAAAAAAGAAAAAACCAAGGAACAAAACAACTCTTATAAGTGTCTTTTGAGTATCTTATTTGTGAAGAGCTTAAAAAAACAAAACCAAAAACGTGTTAAGACCTGGAACCCTTAAGGTTAATTTAGTAGAAAAGTAAATGACTAATTCTTGAAACAATAAAAAAACTGTACAGAAAAGCATTTCTAATGAGTTGCCCAAGAACTAAGAATTTCAAAATGAGAAAGGATAAAATGAGCCAGGGAAATTGGGAATAGAAGTTTCCTACTTTAAAACTATTTCCAGTAAATTCAGTATTGTGAACGTAATATATTTTTCTAATTTGTGATTAACATAAAACACATTTCTAGTGGTTTTACGTTAAGAATAGTGGTAACAGACCAGACCAGACTTGTCCCTCAAACAAGCCATTGACCCTCTGGGACCAGAGGCTGATTCATGTGTTTTAGGTGCTGTCGTCTGTCATTTATAACCACGTGATAATAGTTTAGTAAGTGCAGTAAAAGATGTTTGGTTGTAATGCAGCATCTCTATTCCTGGAAATAATTCTGTGCAAAATCACACTCAAACACCAGGAGGGTTTTTTAGGAAGAATGAGATTAGAAGCAGAACTTTAAAATTTTATCAATGACATATTAAAAACTAAAAATGGACCTGGTAAAAAAATAGGGCCATCTTATACCTTTTATAAAAGGATTTAAAAAATTAATAAAAATGCACAAACATGGCTCTTTCCATTGAAAGAGACCTAGAATTTGCTTGTAGAAAGGCCTTGGGAGGGTTTCTAGTTTATAGATAGGTGTGACGTAGTGAAACGGCAAAGTGATACAAAATCCTATGAAACCTTTTAACACGAGAGATAAGTATGAAGGAATCATAACTTATAGCATGAAGTGAACTGAGGTGGCTGATAAATGTTTAAGGCGTGTGGGTAAGAATGGGGCTGAGTATAATTTGTCCTATTTCTCGTAGATAAAACCACACTAAGCAAAAGTGAAGTTTGTGTGGTATTTTTCCTAATATTTCAGTCATACTCACATTTTCAAAGCAGGTGTTAAAGTGGAAGAAACCAAAAATAAAACTTGTTGTCACTGTGTCAGCTCCAGTGCATGGTAACCAACCACATGTGTATAGAGTAGACTGTGCTCCACAGAGTTTTCAGAGGCTGGGATTTTTTTTTTTTTGTGCCTGATCACCAAGGGTTTTTGAGTCATCTCAAGGTGGACTCGAACCACCAAACTTAACAGTTAGTAACCAAGTGCTTCACCGTTTGTACTGCTAAGGGACTACATTGTTTGTTGTTGTTTGGTGCTGTCGAGTCATAGACGACTCATAGTGACCCTATGAACGAACAGCCTGAGCACTGTTCGTACATAGAGTTTCCAGAGGCAAGCCATTTCGGAAGTGGATGCCGCTCCTGCTTCCAGGCTTGATTTAGTCAGGAAGCTCCAGCCAACACTGTCCACCATGGGTGCCTATTACCACAATTGGCACATCAGTGTCACAGTCTTCAGCATCACAGCAATCATGAGTCACCTCTGTACAGCAACACACAGACCAATGCTATACCACCAAGAAGAATGTTTGACAGGAAAACAATTTGAACCTGGCCGAGGGCCGCAGATGAAAATCACCCACCTTCGGCTTGGTAGCATAACTACATACATGTTTATAAATTTTTTTTTCATGGCATGAACGTAACCAATTTTAAAAAAACCAAGTTTACAAGATTTTAATTCTAGAAATGTGTTTTACAAGGGACTCGACTAGTGCAATGGTTAAAATCTTCACCTGCCAACCAGAAAAATCTACAGTTGTAATTTACCAGCCACTCCACTGGGTAAAGGACGAGATCTACATCTGGAAAGAGTTATAGCCTTCAAAACCCTGTGAGGAAGTTCCCTGTACTGTAGGGTTGATATGACGTAGAATCAACTTGATGGCAGTAGATTCTCTTTGTTTTTAATTCTTAATTTTATTTGTTCTATAACTGTAATATTTTTGTATGTTACTTGGTTAAGGTTTGGCTAGCCGGTTATGTTGTCTTAAAACTAGAAAACTACATACTCATTTCTAAAAGGTTTCCAACAAATGTTATCCTTCTCAGACATTTAAGCATGTGGGTAAAGCAAATGCTTGAATTTTTCAGAATAGGTTACTAACCCATTAATTAAAAACTCACTAATTAAGGATTTGGTGTGGTATGAAGGAAGTTGATTTAACATTTACGCTTATCTTACGGACTGTCAAAAGGACAAATATATTTTAGAAAAAGTGTAGTCAGGGTGTTCTTCAGAGGCAAGGATAGTGAAACTTGACACTTGTATACTTGGGCATGTTGTTAAGAAGGGCCAGTATCTGGAAAAGGACCTCGTGCTTGGAAAGATAGAGGGTCAGTGAAGGAGAGGAAAGCCCTCAGTGAGGTAGATTGACGGAGTGACTTTATGGTGGACTTGAGTATGTCAGAGATGATGAGGTTGTCACAGGATGGAACAGGGTTCAGATTCATTATTCAGAGGGTTGCTGTAAATCATAGTTATCTCGACATTTTAATATCTAAGAGTTTATTTAATATAAATAGATTAAACCTATTGAGAATATTGATTTATTTAAACTATAAGAGAATATTGGTATCTTTTAAAGAAGAAACTATTTTGAAGCATTCTAAAATAGTGTACTCCTTTATATTAATTAGAGTTCTCTGGTGGTCTAGTAAGTTGTTGAGCTGCAAACCCAAAGGCGGATAGTTTGAATCCACCAGCTGCTTCGTGGGAGAGAGATAGGCAGTCTCCTCCCATGTGATTTACAGCCCTTGAAAACCCACTGGAGGGTCAGTTACGAGTCAGTGCTGACTTTTTACTGCAGTAAGAAAAAGAGAGAACTGATATACATATTAGTCTTCTGCCAGTTAAATTTTACAGAATAATTTGTTAATATCATATTAGCTCTGTTACAATGACTTTGGTTTTTTTTTTTGTTTTTTTTTTTTTTACAATGACTTTGTTTTAAACTTTTGTTTACAAAATACTTTAAATTTAGATTACTCTTCAGTCCATTAATTTAAAATCACTTATCTCTTTGCTCAAATACATATGGTACTGAATTCTATTTTTATTAAACTTTGGTGTATCAGCTACAAAGAAAACTAGATTCTTCTGTCTTCTTAGTAAACCCCCATCCCCTGACCCCATCAACAAAGCCACTATTCAGAAAAGGAAGATGTAATCTTGGATTGAACAGTTTGAGGTGAGGATTACACGTGTTTGGCAGGCACTTTGAGGCCTTTTTCTTCCTGCACTCCTGGGTGCATGAAAACAGTGCTGTTTGTCATGCCTTTGTTTGTTTACATCATGTCACCATATTTGAGGTTTTTACAAAGAGAGACTTTTATTGTTCATAATGTCTTAGTACATTTTTTCAGGAGAGCTTTGAAAGGAATATTTTTATACAGATATTTTATGTACTTCACTCTGAAATTAAACTTTCATCAGATTATAAAGATACCCTTTTTTCAGTTTAGATGTGTATGATTTCGTAGGAGATAATATATGGTCTAAGAATTTGTCTAGTGGTCTGGAATGTTTGTAATCAGCGGCCTGTAACTGCTTACAGTTTGTTTAAAAACTGAATTTAAGAGATGATTTAATAGAGTGATTGAAAATATGCCCATAGAAACAAATGCAAGAGAATGAAATGTCCCAGATTACCCCTAGTGTTTTTGCAGGGTTAATTCAATTTGTGCTGATCGTGTAGGACAGACTAGAACTGCCACACTGGGTTTCTTTGGCTGTAAGCATTATGGAGCCCCCTGCGCCAGCAGTTATGTTAGGACCACCTGCCCTGTGGTTAACCGCTGAGCTCTTACCATTGCACCACCATAGCTCCTTGGAGTAACCTTAGATTGCTTTATTTACAGCCCTTCTTTTTTCTTGAAGTTCCTAGACTTGATCCAGACCTCTCTGTACTTTTCTTGCCATATATTTGATAAGCCTTGAACATTTGTTTTGGTACCTACAGAGTTTACTGATGTTGTTA